TGTATGATCAAGGGCAGTGGAGACCAAGGAAGGTGGCACATTTCATCACTTTTGAGTATAAAATGTGCCATTTTCCTTGTGTTCGAATTAACGTCCGATTTGAACACATGCAATGCAACACGAAAGATGCCTATCTTGCCTTTTTACTTGTCAATTTTTGTTTACTCATTTTAATTACCAAACCATTCCTTAATCCAATTGTCCATTGGTGAGTGTTCTCTAATGGAAAGAGGACTCAAACCCCAAGTTGCTTTGGACATGAAAGAGGCATTACACTGTTGGTAATGAACCCCCTAAGGGATTAAACCATTAGGTGTAGCATCTTCATTTCACACTTATGCAAACAAGTGGCTTGAAGCCACTTTCAAAGCAAAACCAAAAGGTGAAGAAATGAGGGAGATTGTAGAGATTATAAGTGCTAAAAATGAGGTGAGAAAAAGCACTGAAACATGCAATCAACTTAAACCAATGATGGTTAGAGCCTAAAAACACCAAGCTAGTGAAGGAATTTACACTACAACCATGCCATACAAGGCTTAAATGCCACTAATAGCTCAAAAAAAATCCAAAAATAGGTTAAAAACAAACCTAAAACATGCTGGAATTGAGCTAACAAAGGCTAGAAAAATACGCTAAAACATGGAGTATGTTAAGCTAGTAAACAAAACACAAGGAGGGGAGGCTAACCCATCTAATTTTAGACCTCAAAACATGATTTTCACCACTGAAATTATTCTGAAATTTCAGTGTTTAAAATCTCTGAAAAAGATGATGTAAGCGTGGGAAACACAAGGGCAAAGGCCTTCAAAACAAATTACAAAGAAGGGCTATCAACCCCCTCAACCTTTAATGGCCTTAAGACCCAAGCTTTAGCCCAAAAACACAGATTTTTTATAGCCCAAAATCAGTTGGAAAACATGCTGGAATGAAGACAAAAAGTAACTAAAACAAAAGGCTAAAACATGGCAATTTAAGCTAGTAAACAAGCCAAAGGAGGGGTGGCTAACCCCTCCATTTTTGGGACATGAAAAACACTTTTTAGCCTCTGAAAACTTCTGAAAATCAGTGGTTAAAAGGCCCAAAAAAGTTGGTTTGAAAGTGATGAACAATGGCACAAAAACTTTACAAACCAAGAAGCTGGAAGGGTAAACCACCCCTTAACTGAAAAACGGCCTCAAACCAACACTTTTAGGCCACAAAAACAGAGTTTTTTACAGTTCAAAATCAGGCCAAAAACAGTCCAAAATTAGTGGAAAGAGATCGGAAAACAATTGTGTAAAGCAAGCTTAAAAGGAGAGTGCTATACCTCTTGCAGCCAAGACACAATTGAGGTAATAAATTAAGCCAAGACCACCTTCTAGAGCTCAAAGAGGGTCCCAAGTAACCTCATCCCAAAGATAAGAAACTTTGGTTAAGGGTTGATAGGCAAACTTGAAGTGTATCAACACTTGTATGCACAAAAGTTCAAGAGAGAGAGAGAGAGAACTGTAGAGAGAGACTCCCAAAATTTTTCCAACCTTAAAAACAATAGAGAAGTTCCTCTATATATATAAATATATGAGTCTTGGTCGAAAATATCTTAAAATGGACAGCTGGAACTTTGTGAAAACAGCTGGAGGAAAATATCTGCAGAAAACTGCTTTTTTTGCACCAACGGCCGACCGACCATCACTGGTGGCCAATAGCCACCACTGATGGCCGACACATGGCTGACAAAGCCCATTCATGGCCGACACATGGCCATCAAAGCCCATCCATGGCCAGCAAACTCCACTAGTGGCCGGCTAGAAAAATCTGCTCTCCAGGTCCAACTTCAAAATGAGCATATCTCCTTCATCCAGACTCCATTACAGATCATTCTTGAGTCTAAATTGAAGCCCCGGAAGTATTCTTTCCAATGGTGGTAGACTCACATCAAAATTCCAAGTGTGCAAAAAGATATGTTTATTTTAGTGAAGACTGCTTAGTTTCAGTCCTAACCGGATTCATGCCTAACTTCTCCTCAGCTAGTTTTCTTCCCTCCCCTCTTATTTTCTTCAACTGAAAACCTCTAAATAAGATGATTGAAAATATTTTTCAAAGATTTCACCTCTCTTTCATTCATTTCTACTTTGTCCTTGCTCGATTTATCGAAAAGCGCAACATTTAACGAAATGCGAGCCTCGGAACATTGTAGAAACTTTTTCAAAAATATTTTGAAAGAGAGGGTTTTAAGGTCTAAAAATCATTTTAGTCAAAATAGTTTTGGTCCAAAATGGAATATAAGGTTGGGATTTGAAGCTCTCCTTGCCGAAGAAATCGAACCTTTGCGTAGTATAACTTTCGTCACCGAGTGATCAATCAATGGCACCCAAGTCTTAAGGACGATCAAAAATGGGGTGTCTAGAACGCGATAGATGTATTCATAATCTTATCTACAAAGCCGTGCAGGTTCTCATATCGTGACATGAATGACTTTATCTGGAACTCCTCTGAATTAACCCTACATACAATATCGTTTGCCAGTGCTGGCAAAGGAAGAAAGAAAGGGACTTAAAGGAGGAAAACTTCTTATTAGTGAAAGCTTTTACTTAATAGGCATAACTAAAATGAACAAGTGCAATAAATGCACAAAATAAGCAATCAAGTGTGATAGATGCACAAAGCGAATATAAGTGAATGCACAAAACAGTGCTATTGAGGTGTGTGCACAAAACAGTGATACGCGATGACTACACAAAACAGTGCTATATGATGTGAAGGTAAACGAATGCAAGTGAATGACAATGTACGTTCCATATGACACAAGGTAGACAGTGCATGTTCCATGCGACATGAGGTGCTATGCACATTCTATGCAAGTTAACCGAAAATGAGCATGCAATTTCCATGCTAGATAACAAATAACCAACCTATGATGTTAAGTGAAAACACATTCCATGGAAGAATTGAAAGCATGAGCGAGTACATGTTCTATGCAAGATAATAGCGTGTTCTATGCATGAATCAAAAGCATGTTCAAAACGATAGCATGTTCTATGCGAGATACGAAAATAAGATGAAAAGCGTGCGAAAGTGCACATTTTATGCAAAAGAAATTAACAAAGCGAACAAAAGCAATGTTCAACAACAACTTCCGACTTACCGACTTAGCAAAATGCCCAAAAGGATACACCTTGTTCATATTGGCAAGTGACGCACATTCACGCACGAGAACACAACGGGTATTGAGAATGGCACCATTAGAACACAATTCCAAGCCTCTCAAACATCAATATGGACCTCAAAAGAGAACCTTCCATTCACTGCAGGGCAAAAGGGGAACAAAACCAGTACTGGGCCACTAATGGGGCACTACCGGCCACCAGAAGAGGGTCTCGCCACTTGTGAACCTGCCGGCCACTAACGGCATTTCGGGACAGATTCGGGATTTCACTTCGAGTCTTCATTAAATACACATCCAAACCTCATTTGCTTACACCTCCAAGGCCGAAATCACTTTCCCTCTCTCTCTAGGTGCTTCCTCTCTCTAGATTTGTACTTTATATGCGTTTTTCAATTCCCCGCGAAAACTTTTTTCGTGAACCCTATTTGATCCTCTACACTTTAAACCGATCAAATTTTGTTTTCATTGTTTTTCTTGAGTTTTCAACACTTTGGGCTTGTTTCCCTCGAGTTTCTTTCGAGTTTTGTGAACTTTCCCGGGTTTTGACTTTTTCTTCCATTTTCTCTCCTAGGGTTGACTTTTTCCAAGTTTTCCCACTTTCCTTCATTTTCTTCACTTTTTCACCGATTTTCACCCACTTTCCAGATGGAAGACGATATCCCTCATCCTGGTGCTCCTCCTGTCCAGAGGCTCCACCTTCACTTTCACCTATAGAGGAGTCGACGGTCACTGGAGACAGTGAGGCAGTGGAGGACATCAACGCTGACTTTGAGGCAGAGTTTGCTTCGGGACCCGAGTCTGAGCAACTATCATTGAGGATATGACCCTTTGATCCAGTGACTTATCACCCCCGCACACACATGATACCACCTGGAGGCCTCAGGCACTTCGACGATTTGATCGGCAGCATACTGGAGCATCTCCTGCTGAGAGAGTCAGACTCCCACCTTTCCCACAGCACGACTTAGGTACTCACTTTATTTTCATGTTTTCTGCCTTTCATTTGACTGTATTCCTTACATTGCTGTTTACCATTGTCTTCCATCTGTGCACTCTTTTTTTGTCACAAAGGGATTCCCGTACTTACAGGGGGTACAGGGTAGTGACAGCCAGAGATTGGTATCATGAGCTCCCATCCTAAGTCCGTGACCTTGTTGACGAGGCTGGCTTTGGTTTATTCTGTACCGAGCTCTCACAGCATATGGCCAGTCTGGCCTTACTCCCAGCATTGGTAGAGAGGTGGTGGGACACCACCAACACATTTCACCTCTCATCCACTGGGGAGATGACGATGACCCCCTATGACTTCTCGATACTCACAGTCTTAGGAGTAGGGGGGATCTGATTCCCTTCGACATGGATATGGGCGAGTGAGAGGCAACTCAGACCCACCTACTCGGATCAAGACCACCTTTTATACAGGCCAACCATGGTCAGATACAGCTAGTTTTCTGAGCACTTCCGTGGGAGTCAACCCGAGACACAGGAGGAGACAGAGCAATATGCTCGAGGCTTCTTGATGTTCCTACTCGGTACCACCTTGTTTGCGAATAGGTGGAATACTGTTGGTTTGAACCTGTTGAGCGCCCATGTGACCTTACCCCGTGTCTGGTTCTACAACTGGGGCGGAACCGGCTTGGTCACCCTCTACGACTATACGAGCTCCACTTCCCGTATGAGGGGAGAGCGGGTCGGAGGCTACTAGAGAGCCTGGGAGGTATGCATTGCACTTTCTATTTTGCCACTTATGCTTTCTGCTTAGCATTTTCTGTTTAATATCTGTTCATACACTGCTTTCCGCTTTGCATTTTCTATTTACTATCTGCTCATACACTGTGCTGATCTTGTCTTGCAGCTATGGGTTTACGCTTACTTCCCGGCTCTTGCTCCAGAGCCAGTGGATGAGATTCCTCCGACTGTCCCTTACTCGCAATGATACGATGGCTGATGTCAGCGCTGGAGCCGCGTTGATATGACCTTCGCTTTCTATCGCCGATACTTCGATACGGTGGTTGCCAATGAGGTAACCTGAAACTGATAGCCATTTCTACTCTTATACTATTCTGATTCATCCTAACAACTGACGGCAACTAACAATTTGTACATCCTTTGTTTGCAGATCAGTTGGCAGGCCTAGGCGACGATGCTTGCCGGGGTCAGGGATCATTATGCCGGGGCTTGGGGCACCTCCCAGTTTCAGATCTTGCTCAAGGGCCCATTCTGCCAGGCTTGGTTCTTAGGCAAGCAAGTTGTTCGCCAGACGATGGGCTTGCTTACACCAGTCGTGCCTGTGCCCCTACCGGCATCGATGAGGACGGCAGACAGCCTTTCGGCTGAGGCTATCATTCAGTTCATGGTAAGTCTGGACATTGACTATTTTAGGGTGGAGGGCGACTATGCAACTTTCATCCAGACTCATCTCATGCCGCCTCTGATCGAAGCTCGGCAGACGACGCAGTAGATGCTCCTTTGACTGACAAGGCTGAACGGGAAGCTGATACCAACATTGAGGAAGGCCCTTCCGGTAGGCAGGTTGTTGGTTGGCCTGCAATTCCCACTGTGCTTACATGTTGGCAGTCGACTGAGATAGCCTACTAGATTTCGATAAAGCCAGCCGAGGTAGGGCATGGGTTTGTCAGAACCCGGGGCGCACCTCAGGAACGAACCATACTTTACAACTTGCATGCCGCACTTTTCCTTTCCAAATATTGATTATTCCGTATACTGACCATTAAAATGCGCTTACAGGCACCCGTTGAGTACACAGAGGGCTTGCTCCAGCTGGTTGCTTCTCTGGCTGGCATGGTTCAGATGAGAGAGGCATTGTTTGGTCTCTATGATATTAAGATATTTTCCCCTATTTTTCGCATACATTCTGCTACTACCTAACATTGTTGTGCACCATACTATCACATTCCCACTAATATACTGACGTGCCTTTTGACATCACCTCAAACTACACTGATTCACTGCACTGAGACACACTGATACACTATACCCAAGTCGAATCTAGCTGTTGCATGACACTCATTCTACATACGATACTCAATCTGAATACTACATTCTACAACAATACATACACTGTATTTGATATACTGACACTTGTTTTTTCTTAGCTCCTATTTGTACCGAGTACACCAGCACTAGTGGCGGCAACAGCACTAGCAACATCCCTTCTAGCGGTAGGAAGGAGAGGTAGACAGGTCCTGGCATGTGGCCGAGGTGAGCACCGAGGTTGAGACAGAGACAGGGGTGCCCTAGGCCGGTCCTCGAAGCCAGTTTTGAGTGAGGTCGATGCTGAGACTAGTGACTCCAAGGAGGCAGTGAATCGACATTCTAAATCCGAGAGCGAGGACGATGATGCTGACTCGAGATCAGAGAGCGGGCATGACGCCGAGGTCAGCTCTGCGACAGAGAGTAGAGAGGATGATGTAGGCTCTGACTCAAAGTCTGATTCTGATGGCAACAGTACTGATCGAGACAGTGCCCCTGAGTCCCCTCTGAGGAAGAAGACGAAGAGGGCCTCTTGAGCTTGAGATGACTTGCACCGATTTTGCACTCTTTTGCTTAGTTTCTTTTATTTTGTAGTTTTAGCACATGTATAGATTCAGATAGGTTTTTACTTTTGCTTTTGAAACCCTATACTCTCTTTTGTAAAGCAAACCATGATCGGAGGAAAACCCCGCAGTTTTATGAAAAGAGTTATTATTTTTGCATCATGAGCACCACCATATCTTCATTGAATGAAAGTGGAGTTGAGTTTTGAAACCGACAATGCTTGCATTGAAACAATGTTCTTAATCGGATAATGAGCCAACCGACAATCCAAATACGAAATACAACTCGATTAAACAGGAATCAAAGTAAAAACAAACTAGACACAACTAGTTACACCTACGAAACACAAAAGACTCAAAATAAGACCTTGAAACACAAAGACCAGGACAAAACCAAACTGTTAAAATTGCCAGACCCACAGGTAGACAGCCGGCCACAAAAAGTAGGTGGCAACCCACAAAAAATGGATGGCAACCCACTAAAACTGGCTTGTTGGCCACTATTTCTAGCCTACCGGCCACTTGTGAAGGAACCACCAGACAGCTGACAGTTGTCCTCCACTCACAGCCCTATCTTCTACAAAAGGTCCACCTTCATGATTTCTTCACTAGAACCTCATTATGTTGTTGTTTTTCCCACAAATGGAGATCTTTCTTGTCGAAAAGCTCACGAATTGGATAACCACTTTAGACGGCACAAGAAAGGTAAATTTTTAAGGTTTCGGCATAAACGTGCTTTTTTCGTTGAGCCGTACTCCACTTTGTTTTCCATTTCTCCATGTTACGGTCCAATGTTGGGACCCAATTACACATGTGTTTCGCTTCGGAGCACAAGAAATGTGTCTAGCTCTTGAAGAATATCAAGCTTTGATGGAGTCCCAACACGATGAGGAAATCTTGCCTCAGCCCTGTTTTGGCCATGCCTTGACTTTGGGACGGATATGTGGGCTCACCTTGCACGAGGCCCGATTTTTAGCTCATAACGGAGAGATAGACATACCCGACTTGATTCATCGATTTTCTGACATCGTAGACAGAGGTGACCTTCTTTGGCGAGGCTTTCGGCAACATGCCCTTTATTTATGTATGCCAGTGGATTTCATTCTTGCCCATAGTTTGGGCGGAGTTCACTCCCAGTTGATCGAAGTGGCACATGGCCTGAAAGAGGGTAAGAGTTGTATTGGCTTAATACTGGCTGAAACCCTGATGGGTTTGGGCGCTATTCATCAACAGGAAACCACTAGGTTTGCAGGAAGTCCACTACTTCTTCATGTAATATTTCCCATCCTTCTTATATATATGAGTCTCACATCACTCGGCACTAATGCTTTATTTTTCTCTAAACCCTTTTCTTTACTTTTCTCTCAACATGCACCTCTCTATTCTTTAATCTCTCTTATTTTCATCCCTTTCCAGATATGGCTCATGGATAAGATGAAAGTAGTGGACCCTTACCCTAAATATTCAGCTCCATCTTACTTTTTCCGTCAGCGATTAGTGGACTTTCCCAATGAGAGATAGTGGTGCAATTGGATATGCAATAGATCGGAGGCTGACATAGCCTGGGGTTGCCCTTAGCTCGATTTGGCCGAAATGAGTTACAACATAATGCGTCAACCAGGCATACAGTTGATTGAGATTACGCACTGCGTGTTCTACTGCCCCTTCGAGTTTAGAAGTTAATTTGGGCATGTTCAGATTCGTCCAGATGAGGGAGTAGAATACCCAGCTCCATTCCCCATTCGCGCTTCAAGCCTAACTCGGTACCTCGCTACCTAGAGGATGAGAGAGCTTCTGGCCCATGTCCCTAGTTTCAATTATGCCCTTTCTGATGAGTGCCTGGTTTGGCTTGAGGAAAAGGCACAGGTTGGGCCAACTTTGGCTGCGAAGGCTTCCACAAGCACGGGCAGAGGACGTAGGAACACTTGACTCATCCATGCCCCTAGTTTATTGCTTTGACCTTTCTTTTCAAATTTTATGTAGAAGCAACTTTGATTTGTATCAGAGAGTTGGAGAATGTACTCGATGTTGAAATCAATGGAATTAAAGTTGTGAGCACTAAAAATTTTCCTTTTGGTCCCAAAATGCTCTACGTTGTAAAAGGTAAAATTTTGAGGAAAATCAACTTTTATTAAAACTTTCAAAACCATTTTCCAAATGATCACTGCCTGACACGCATAGAATCAATCCTTAAAATGCACAGCCCCAAATTAGAAGATCATAAATGCCTCTGATTGCATACCACAACTGCTTCGCATTGTAACCAGCTCTTCTTCCCAAAGTGAAGATCATAACCAAACTAACAGATGGTGAACAAAGATGACCCGAGTCAGATAAATGGACAGGACAGTTGAATTAGAGATGGTTATGGCCGAACTTCATGATGAAGTTGCCTACGTAGCCCAAAGATGGGAATCAGGCCTTATGTAGTTCGGTTCAGGTTCCCTTGGGTATTGACTCTCTCCTTTTATGCTCTAACTTTTGCCAAAGTCTTCCTTTTGGAATTTTGACCATGTGAGCTTAGTTTTTCTTTGTTTTCAATTTTTCATGCTGTAACTTTTACATAGGTCGCCCTTCCGGGTTTTTGGCCTAAAGAGCCTCTCAAGGGTAATATTTCTTTAACTTGTCCATGTTGATCGGTTATGAAACTCCAGGCCATCTAGGTCCAGAAGAATAACTGCTCCACCTGACCAGATAGACTTGATGATGTAAGACCCAGTCCAATTAGGTTTGAACTTGCCCCTAGGGTCATGAATGGGGCTTGGTTGTCTTTGAGCACCAAATATCCTTCCTTAAGGTTTCTAGACTTAACCTTCTTGTTAAAAGCCCTAGGAATTCTGCGTTGGTAGCCCTGGATATGTACAATGCCTTTAGCCTTCTCTCATTAGAGAGCATTAGTTCCTCAAACCTGCTCTGTTGCTAGTCTGCCTCTGCTATCTGACACTCAGCCATAACCCGCAGTGACAATACTTCAATTTCGATAGGCAAAACAACTTCCACGCCATAAACAAGAGAATAGGGGGTTGCCCTAGTAGATGTTCGAATTGAGGTTCAATAGCCCCAGCCAGCAAACGACGGTTTAGCTAGCCAGTCCTTGTAAGTCTCTATCTTTTTCAGTAAAATTTTCTTGATGTTTTTGTTTGCAGCCTCAATGGCTCCGTTAGTCTGTGGCCTGTAGGTTGATGATTTATGGAAAGCCACATTATACTTCTCAAGCAAATCCAACACCTCTTTCTTAAAATGCAAACCATTATCAGAGATAATCTCATTCGGAACCCCATATCGGCAGATGATGTTATTCTTGATAAACTTGACCACATGCGATGCCTTTAGCACCAAATAGGACTGGGCCTCCACCCATTTTGTAAAGTAGTTGATTGCTACTATAATGAACTCATGCCCATTTGACCATTTCGGCATAACTATCCCGATAACATCAATTTTCCAAACGGAGAATGGCCAGGGTGAAGTCATGTTATAGAGCATCGACGGTAGGATATTCATGCGATTGGCATGAATTTGACATTTGTGGCATCGCCGTACAAAACCAATACAATCTTCCTCTATAGTAGACCAGTAATACCCTTGTTTGAGGATTTTTCGGGCTAGCATCACGCCATTCCTATGTGCTCCACACTCTCCCCCGTGAATGGCCTCCATAAAACGCTTTGATTCCTCTTGTTCAACACATAGCTTGTGCATTCCCAAATGACCTCTTTTGTAGAGCTTACCCATGCAGATGATTTATTGGATGGCCAGACGCCGTATTCACCGCTTGTCCTTGGCAATGCTGTAACGCCCCGACTTCCGAGTCGTTAATAAATCAAACAACCTCAAATTCATAATCGCAGATAACTCATATTCCCAAATATACAAATCATCTCCACAAATAATTAACTCAAATGTCTCCAAAACATAAATTATACAAATTTCCAAAAAATAATATATAGTTGTGGACTAAAAGAATCTCCAACTCAAATAATCTCCTTGGATGCTTCAACACCAACCGCCACTAAATTTGCTCCACGCCTGAAAAATAAATAAATTCGGGAAGTATACAATACAACAGGAATAACAAGGCTCAGACAGAAAATAAATTAACAGAGATCCAGCAATTACACAACCGATTAGATTCGATAATCAACAATTTACCAAATTGCACAAACAAGTCAACTCGACATTTGATAATTTATCCAGAACCAAATACCCGGTCCTACTCGGTACATGACCAATGGCCGGCCTCACCCACCTCACCCAAGCACAAATACTTATCTGGGCTATTGGTCCAAGCTATTGGAGAGGTCTACTCGATCCATGTACGGAGCATTTTCACGTCATTTAGCCAGACAAATCAACATTAACTACACAGAACAACTTCATAGAATTTATCAAATGACCAGAGTACTCAAACGTGTCAACAGACTATGATTCACAGGATTTATCAAATGATCACAATAATCAAGAGGATTACAAATTGAAAGTAATTAACATAAACTTTTTGTAAAGAGATTTAGAGGAAGCATATTGTATGCCACCCAAATTACCTCAAAGCAATCTCCCCCGTCTCCAACACTCGAATCTCGATCTTTCTCCATGAATTCCAAATTCTAAGCCATAAGGTATGTAAGGTTTCACAAAATCTACAACTCTCCTCCTTTATGAAAATGCTTACTATCACTTTAAACATTCTTAACCTAAACTCTCAATCTATATAACAAATGGAGAGAGATATGGGAAGAACCATAGAAAGAAGTTAAGAGGTGAACTCAATTTATAGGCAAACTTGGTGTAACATGGCATAAAAGCCCACTGGTTGGAAACGAAAGGACAAGTTGGGATTTACTTGTCATTAAAGCCCACTAGTTGGAATTGAATGGATCACTAGTTGGAAAATGAAGGGACACTAGTTAGAATTAAATGGACCATTATTTGGAAAATTTAATGGACCACTAGTTGGAAAATGAATGGACACT